GTTGCAAATAAACATTCATTAGAAATTTAGAAAAGTAATCAAAAGTAATGTTACATTAATAAAGTAATTGAAAAAGTTACACTACTATTACATTTTAAATAGGGTAACTTGTAATCTGTAACCTATTACATTTCCAAAGTAACCTTCTCAACACTGCCTGTATCGTATGCACTGCATGATCTATGAGAGCAACACATGTGTTTGTGTGTGTGTGTGAGAAAGCCCTGCGGTCATTCCGCCATGCTATGTGGTGTCATGTATGTAGGTCTTGGAGGGACTCGCTGTGAACCAGGATTGATGCCTAAATGTCTCTGACTCTTCTAGAGCAAAGATGCATGACCGGACGAGAGGCGCAGATGATTGATGGCTTACATCACAGCAGAGAAAGAGAGAGAGAGACTCTATAGGTAAGTTCCAGTTAACAGTTAAACAGCTGTGAGAGCAAATGTCCCTTTTTTCCTAAACAAATATTTATTTTAATTGGTTTGGGACACATTGATAGGGTTTTTGCTGTGGAAGAGTTGTTGAACTTTCTCCTTCCTTGAGTCCAGAACAAAACACATATATATGGTACTTTTGTAACCTTGGCAACATGCTGGTCACTTTTCAGTACGTTTAAAATAAAGGGGAACTAAAGATGTCAAGCTTCAAAAAGACACAAAAATATCTTAAAAGCGGTCTTTATGAATCGTGTTTTATATTTCAAATCATCTAAAGTCATGCAATATCTTTATGTGAGGAATAGGCCAAAACATGGTTATTCTTTTAAATTAAATTAAATTAAATTAAATTAAATTAAATTAAATTAAATTAAATTAAATTAAATTAAATTAAATTAAATTAAATTATTTAAGAATTGCTTTATTTAATAAATAATTATTTATTTATTATAATTATTCTTAATTTTATTTATACATATATTGTAATGTGTGTTATTAATATGTAATTATATTTCATTTATTAATTATTTAATAAATAATTAAAATAATTTGCAAAACTTCAAACTTATTTGCGAATTATTTTAATTATTGGTGGTTAACAGCTTGTTATCAGTGAATAATGGCTTAAATTTAGGTCTGTTCTTCACACTAAGCTATTATATGACTCAAGAACGCGTAGAGTGCTTTTCCATCGTTTTTTGAACCTTAAAAAGCTCCCTGTGATTTTGAGCAAATGATTTTCATTTTTGGCTGAACTATTTGTTTATTGCAATATACCGCAAATTTGCTTGCAAAATACAACCCATTTGATGATAATACAAATTTCATTTGCATTAAAATAACCTGAGAAAATGCAATATACAAGTCATCTAATACAAAGATGTAAAAGCACACTGCAGTATAATGATATAATAAGTGCTGTACAGTCAGTTATCATACAGCTGATGTAATGAAGTGATGTGAGGTCAGTGCTGTATCGGCTATTAAATACATTCCCGTTTTGTCAGCAATTGATTTTAATATCACTTCTTTTTGCTCCACTTGTTTTCTTACTCCTGTGGCCTTTATGGTCCTTGTATTTGGAGGCCAACAATGTGAAAAGCTGTCAGATCCACACCACATGACCCACAAGCTTGTGTCTTATTGGCTGGTGAGTTTTATCAATCAAACACACGAAAAAACAAAATGACCTACAGGTTCTCTCTCTTTATATCCCTGGTGTGAATAGGTTAGTATGGGTTCTTTTGATTTTAAATCTTGTTTGCACTTGGTGCGAATAGACCTTTAATCCATATTCTCAAAGTCAACATGAAATAAAAAAAGACTTGATTTGCTTTCCTACTACTCATTTCTGGTCTTATTGGAAAAGATTCATCTGTGTACGTAATTTTAAAAAGGAAAAAAGGTTTGTCATTAGATCTTTTTATTTGTCAACCACCTGTTATATACTGTAGAAACACAGTATCACTTTGCAACAAGGTTCCATTAGTTAACATTAGTTATTGCATTAATATTAACTAACAATGAGCAATACATTTCTTACATGATTTATTCATCTTAATTGGTAATGTTAATAAAAATACAACTGTTGTTTGTTAGCTCATGTTAACTCAAGTCCATTAAATCAGAGGTTCTCAAAGGTCTTCATGACAACCTGTCCAAACAAAAGTTTGGGTAATAATAATAATAATAAACTGTAATTTTCAGGAATTATCACCTGTTTTATTTTAACAGTAAACCTCTGTTGTTTGGTACTTTTGTTTGCAAAAAAAAAGTAATTGTTAAATTTTAAAGTAATTGTAAAAAAAAAAAAAAATTAAATAAAAAGTAATTGTAAAAGTAAAAAAAAAAAAAACATTTAATGGTGCTATATTATTATAAAATAAATTAAGCTATTTTAGGATTTTTTTTTTAATGTTATTGATTCAGCTCTTTAGATATGCTTTTTGATTACTAAATTGAAATAAACCATTAAAACTAAATTCAGGAAAAAAAAGAAAAACACTGAATTTGGGAAAAATAAAACAGATTTCATAGAGCCCTAAAAATGAAATGACTGATTAATTAATTAAATTGATCAAGTTTTATGATTTCAGTTAATTACACATGCTTTTTGATTAAATTTGAATTTAACCCTAAAAAGTCCAAATCAACTAAAACATGACCAGAGACACTTTCTGATATCACTGAATATCAGAAATACATCACATTTTGTCAGTAAAATGGCTTTCTAATGCCATTTCATGTTGACTTTAAGCAGTTATGTCCAGGATTATGGAAAGAGTCAGAGATTTAGCAGTATGTGCATATGTCACAGAGATTATCACAGAACACACATCACCTTTATAGTGAAGCAGAGCATTATCCTGAATATTTGCTCATATTTCTTACCTCTCTCATAGATGAGCAGCTGTGGGTTAGTTAATCAGTGTCTAGACTAGAGGGCGACCAAGAGCCGTGTTCTGCATTAACACCCAGAATTCATGCTTCCCTCCGGCTCTGGTTCATCTCCTCTCTCCTCTCACACGACCCTTTTTTGTTGTAACATGGGCAAAAAGAGTCTGGAAAGGCAATTTAGCTGGGAGGCGAGACAAATTAGTGGCTGTTTGCGGGATTACATGACACATCCCCTGTTTCCTGAGTGATACAGAAATCATAATAAAAGCTTTGGAAATAGCACAGCGGATAAATTAAGCTGGCAGAGCTCTCAGCTATCAGCTCTAAACCAATCACAAATGATAATCATATTCTACAAGGACACAGAGACTGTAAAAGATCGTGCTAACTGTAGACTTGGTGAGCTTTGGATATTGTGTTGAAGATCAGTGTTTGATTACATTCATTTTTCTCATGCAAATTGCAGGGAGAAAAGTTTAGTAATGAGTGCAATCATATTCTATAATGTGGTATAATGAGATGTTTTGTTTTCTGAAGAAAATGTGTGTGGTGTTTTATGTCTGTGCAAAACTCACGTCCATTAGGCTCATTTATTCTAGAGGGTTGCTAGGGTGTTGCTAAGTAGTTTATGGGATGTTCTGCATGATTTGTAGGTGGTTGCTATGGCATAGATAGACGGTATTTGGAACGGTTATGGTTATGGCATCAGTGTTAGTTTAGTATCATCTACAGTATATACTATGACTGTTTATTATTAATAATTTTACTCCCTTTTTTAATTGTAAGTTTTCTTTTTATTTCAATTACATTTTTAGTAATTTTGTGATGTACTGTTGTTATTTATTTAGTATTTAGGTTTAGTTTACTTTTAGTTCCGTTTTAGTGCTTCAACTTAAACATATTTCAGTTAGTTGCCAAGGCAACATTTATCATTTTTCCTTTAAATTTTAATTACATTTTTAGTAATTTTGTTACATGCGTTTGTCATTTTTATTTCTTTATTTGTTTTTCCCAAATATTGCTATTTAGGTTTGATTTACTGTTAGTATAGTTTTAGTTTCCAATTAGTGCTTCTTAAACTTATTTCAAATACAGTAGCTTTGAATGCAACATTTTTCATCTAAGATTTTCATCTAATATTTTTTATTGTATTTCAACTTCATGCTAATTGGCGAAATGTTTTTAATAGTTTTTATTGTAAGTGACGTGACATGTGGCCAAGTATGGTGACCCATACTTGGAATTAGTGCTCTGCATTTACCCATCCAAAGTGCACACACACACCGTGAACACACACCCGGAGCAGTGGGCAACCATTTATGCTGCGGCGCCCGGGGAGCAGTCGGGGGTTCGGTGCCTTGCTCAAGGGCACCTCAGTCGTGGTATTGAAGGTGGGAGAGAGCGCTGTACATTCACTCCCCCCACCTACAATCCCTGCCGGTACGAGACTCGAACCCGCATCCTTTGGGTTACGAGTCCGACTCTCCTCTAACCATTAGGCCACGACTAATGGTTAGAGAGTCGGACTCGTAACCCAAAGGATGCGGGTTCGAGTCTCGTACCGGCAGGGATTGTTACGTATGTAATGATTGTAACTCTGTATGGCATTGGTAAACGATTGCTCAGTGATTTCTGGGGAGTTGCTACTGTATGTAGTTTCTAGGATTACATGATTGCTTAAGAATTCTGAATGTATTCATGTATTGCTATGCATTTAATAGGGTTTTGAGGGTAGCTAGATTTCTAGGGTGTTCTAGGTTGTTCATTGCTATAGTAGGAGGATTATAGAGTTGTTGTGATTTGAGAAATCACAATTGCTGAAGGGCAATGCACAAGCTCAACTTTAATACTCAGTGCTAAAGGTTTGTTGCATGTAGTAGAGATGTTTGCATTAGAAAACACAACGAATTAGAGGATGAATGGTATGGACAGAATGAGAGAGAGGTTAAAACGAGAGGACATTGATGCAAGGTTTAATAGCTGCAAGTCAGTCTTCGATTCTGTCACACACACACATTCATCCCGCCTTCCTGCTGTGCATCTCATCCTTTCCCATCCTTCCTTCTCTCTCTCTCTCTCTCTCTCTCTCTCTCTCTCTCTCTCGTGTCACGTGTGCAGGTCTGTGAATCGCAGCAGCGGCTTTGTGCATCTCTTTCTGTGTGAGCGAGAGAGAGGCTCAGGGCTGCACTCCTCCAAGGGCTTCTCGTACTCTCTCTATTCACACACGCGCATCCCGTGCATCCAGACAGGGGGCTTTCACCGTCCCAGACACACCGTCTGCTGCGACTTTTGTCTGGGAGAGCCGGACAGAGAGGAGGGATTTTACCCAGGATCCTTCCGTGATTTGCAACAGCATGCGCCCGCCGAGCCAGACTTCATCCCAAGGTTGAGCGGAGCGCTGCAGCAGGCGACGAGGGAGGAATGGATCGCAGAGAGAGCAGCACTTGGAACTGAGGGCTCGCTTTGTGCTTTGCGTCGTCGGAGGATGCTTTGGGCATCGCGGCAGGACGTTTAAGAGTACGGCGGATGCTAGTGGATGGATTTTTTATGCTGTCGGAAAGGGTTGTGATTCAGGTATGTGTGTGTACTAACTTAAGCTGTTGCATCTTGAATGTTGAATTGCAATTGAACTGATCGTGCATTTTGTGTGTGCATGCATCCGTGCATCACTTTTTTATGTCATTCTGTGCCATTAGACTTTGTGGTACATCCGACGCTTGATGCTTTCAGCTCACTTATCAACATCTGGTGGCGTGTCCTCGCAGGCAGAGCGGGATGATTGAAGCGCTCGCCGGATTATAAAGAGTTTTCTAATTCCGGCAGCTCTGAATGGTTGCATCTCTCGCACCGAGAGCATGCATCGCGCTCTCGGTCAGCCGTGCTCATGGTTAAAATGCATGCATTTTCAGATTTAGAAAGCATATGCCGACTCGGATCTGTGCATGCCGAGGTCTCGCGGTGTAATGAGTGAATGTGAGATGAGCAACGGCTCGTAATTGTGTTAGTGGGTGGGGCTCTCTCTCTCTCTCTCTCTCTTGCTCTTACTGCCTCTCGTCTCTCTATTTTAAATATGCATCAGGAGGGGTTGAGGTTGTCAGAGGAGTGTCTGTATGTGATGTACGGGGTCAGAGCCCTGCGTCTGCATCGGATCGATAATCTATGTCTTTTGCATCTCAAGCCCACAGACGACCACACATGAGAATCGGCTCTCCTTGATGCAACAGAGGGAGAAAGAGACAAGCAGCTAATGAGCTGCCCGTCTTTATGAGGCATTGCACAACACGCTGTCAAGCGCAATCATTTGGAGCAGCTACATAATAAATGTAAACTAATAACTGGCTAAAAAAATAACTTGCAATAAATGCACAATGTGCTTTCACAATAGGCTAATGGTGAGGAACCGAGTCAGTTTCACTTTATAGTTCTGTTCATTTGGATAGTGAACGCAGTTTTTTTAAACCTAACCAGAATCTGCTTAAAGATGGTTTGAGGTTCGAGTGTTTTTAATAGTATAGGTTGCAATTCATAATAAAGCATTGCATTCTAGCTTGTGGAATTGGAAAAAAAAATGTTATTGCTAAGAGTTTGGACTTTCGTTACTCAGGAGAGGTTCAAGAATATATAGTTAAAGAAATAGTTCATCCAAAAATTAAAATGTGCTCATCCTCAGGCCATCCAAGATGTTGATGAGTTTGTTTCTTCATCATATTTGGAGAAATGTAGCATTGCATCACTTACTCAGCAATGGATGCTCTGCAGTGAATGGGTGCCGTCAGAATGAGAGTCCAAACAGCTGATAAAAACATCACAATAATCCACAAGTAATCCACACCACTCCAGTCCATCAGTTAACATCTGGAGAAGACAAAAGCTGTGTGTTTGTAAGAAACAAATCCACCCTGGCCAAAAAAGAGTCCTCTCTAACAGCTTCCACTCTTCTTTCCAGTAGATCTTAGTTCATGCATGCAGGGAATTGCTCTCTTTCAGACACAGGAGCATTAGTGCATCAATCAAGTTCTTTCATGCCAGAGTCAGTAAACCATTTCTTTATGACCTCGCTTTGTGTGCAGGTCATTATCGTACTGGAATAGAAATAATTGCATTTCTATGTGCTGGATTGTTAGTAGTCAGTGCAGCTGAAATAGCAAGATCTGTTCATTTGTAGGTTCTGTCACATATGTTTGGTCATTCAGTGTATATTTTTCATTAGCTATCCAATAAAGTGACTCTAAAACAACATAAATTCAGAATCAGTGCAGATTAAAACATATTTTCCATAATGGCCTCTGTGATGATCTTTAGCATTGCATTTACATAATATCCAATGAAATTTGATTAGCACTGTGAAATAGTAGTTGATTACCTGTTGGGCTTGTGGTGGAAATATGACAGTTAATTTAATCAGATTTAATTGTCTCATCTGTATTTTTCAGTAGATTGATTGATTGAGCTCTGTAATTCTGTAATGGCTTAATAAAGAGACAGTGATTTCAGCCATTAATCACAGAAGAGTTAATAAATTAATTGGAAAAGGAAGTTAGAAACCTCTGGTCTCAGCATTTGTTTCCATTGGCCAGACTGAACTTTTCTGAGTAGACATCAATGTCCAAAGTCTTAATCATTGCCTAAGAAACCACATGCTGGAGTTTTACCAGCCGAATACTTTGTTTAATTAAAAGTATCAGTGAGTAAATTCGTAGTAAATGATGTGGTCTGGTGATTGTGACATTTGATGTCTGTTACTAAATGGTTTGGTTGTGCTGAATAGGCAGCATGTGTGGCAGAGTGAATCTCATCTCATATATATATATATATATATATAGATGATATATATATATATATATATAGAGAGAGAGAGAGAGAGAGAGAGAGACTTGGGATTTTTAATTTTTTTATTTTAGGGTCAATTGTGAAGAAGATGAGATCCTAACCATTTAGAATTTTGGAATTGTGATATTACTTTCAAGATGATTAAGCACCTCAATAATATTAAAATATTTATTGACAGGAAAATAATGTTATGATGCAAAAAATCTTAATGCAATTGATTCTTTTGACAATACAGATATTTACTTGAGAAGCTTAGATATTAGGTTTTCAGAATTTGTCTTGAATTATTAATTTACACTGAACAAAATTATAGAAATAGGCCTTTTGTGTACATAGAAAAAGTCTTAGATCTTTGAGTTCAGCTCATGAAAAATGGGGGCAAAACAAAAGTGTTGCGTTTATAATTTAGTTCAGTGTATTTTTTAAACTTTTTTTCTTGAGCTATGCATAAGAAAATGTATTGAGATTTATGCTTAGAACAAGAAGAAGAAAAAATAGGATTGTTTTTGCCTTCGGGGGACAAAATAAACTTAATTCAAGATTCAAATTCCCTTGAGAATAAGTCATTTTATCTTATTTACATGACTTTACTTGCGAAGCATAATTGTCTTGTTTTAAGGATATTTTTTAGTGGAAAACAATACAAACTACTGATGTACTGAAATATGACCATGTTCTTGACAGGATACAGAGTGAGTTTAGCACTGATTGTCAAATTACATCTGATTGAATTAATAACATTTGATTGTACAAGCTTTCTTTGGATATAATTACATTAGTGGAGCGAAAGCTGTTTTAGTGGGTCTGAGACAGAGAGAGAGAGAGAGAGACAGATAGAGAGAGAGAGGTCTGTAAACATCAAGGTGTGTTACTCACAGCAACACATCTGTCAACAACGCCATGCGCGCGCACAATGGGGACACTGAAAACGTCCTCATAAATCACCTTCTCGTTGTAATACCTATGTCATACCCATGTTATTATACAAATTTGTGTCCTCATAAAGCACATAAACATGCACACACACACACACGTTACACAGGCTACTCACCTGTTCTGTTCTGTATTATAGGGGAATTACTACTAAACTGAGAACAATGTTTGTATTGCAGCTGAATGACAGATAGTGAGTCTATTTAAATTAACTTCTATATGTTTATAAATGCACATGTATAACTAGATATTTTGGACTTTTTTGAAGAAAATGTGACTCAGCACAATGCTAGGATGTTGGTTGGTGTGTGATATGGTTGATTAGCTACTTGCAGTGTATTTCTTTCCTTCACCCACAGAATATCACATCTCTCTTTCTTATGCCATTATACATTTTTAGGCCCTGTGTGAACTGTATTTAATTAGATACAAACAAGGCCCTTTAATGCAGTAATACAGTATGACTGTATTCCTCACCTTTCACCTCCATTTATGAATAACGTATGAGCTTCTAGACAAAACCATTCATATCTGAATTATTGATATTCAAACATATTCCACTTTTTTTTCCATAGCACACAGGGTCTTGCTCTTTACACTTCAGTATATTGTTCTGGTCAATTTGGTCATACTGTATTTTCTAGTGCATTTGAACTGCACCATTCATCTGTGATCATTAGGTTGCGTGTCTGTATCATGGGACACTACATGTACCAGATTTCCAAAGGTGGTATAACTCGATTAATGATTATATTGCCATGCTCATTTTGAAGCTAGAAATGCATTGATTTGTAAAATAATGTAAACACAATTATTCATGTCAGGCTGTTAAAGGGTTTATTGGATCTCCAAAGCAACACCGGAATCTTTTCTGCTCTAGTTTCTGTGAAAATAAGAAGCTTTCCGCAATTCTCTCAAAATGTGACACATCTAGCTCAGCTGAACTGGATCTGACAGCCTCATAAGAAACAGACCATGAAACTGGGGCTCTAGTACAAAGAATTATTCAATGATTTATTATACAGTATGTGCAGTGTAACATTCAGAGTTATGTATTTTACATACTGACCTTCAGTGCAAACTAACTTAAAAGATATTTTTTTATTTTCTTTTTTTCAGAGACATGAGGCCTTTTCTGAAGAACACCCTTGAATATTTCCCTCACTGAGGATGTGCGATGATTTCTGCTCGGCACAACCGCACCTGAGGTCACTTCTTCTCTAGACCGTCTATTATACCTCAGGGCTGACTTTCAAAACTCTAAGTGACTGTGTGCTGTGTGCTTAAGTGTCTGTGTGCTTCGCTGGATTTGAGACCAGTTTTGCTTCACTGCGTCCGGCGTGCAAAACTGCTGAAACATCGCCCTCCATGGTTTCTGCTCATTTCAAGAAGCTATCATCTTACATCGTAAAGATTTGCAAAGGAATGTTTACAAAGAAACTGGCAAATACCACAAAGAAGAAAGAGAGTAGTGAAAACAAAAAAGAACCCAAAACGTACCCCGATGCATGGAACCCGACGTTCTCAACCACACTGAAAAGCACAGTTAAAAAGATCTCCAAATGCTCGTCGGCACGCAATATATCCCTTGAGGAGGATGACGGAAAAAACGACTGTTCTTCTCTCTCGCCAACTTTCAGTTACCGTGTAGCAATTGCCAATGGGCTTCCAAAAAATGCCCTCTTTCTGAACAATAATGAGTTTCATGAGGTCTTGTCAATTGATAGCTATTACTCCGACTCTCTAAACGAGGCAAAACTTGTCCATAGATTTGATGAACAAAAAGCTTATACAATGCCAGTAAGACGGAACAGGAAGAGTTTGATTAGTTTAGCGCCCTCCGATGGCAGCTCGGAGGGGGAGCGGGGAGAGCGCAGCAGTCTCCACACCCTTCGATTGGGCGCTCTGAAAAAACTGAGGAAATGGAAGAAGAGCCAAGAATGTGTGTCCTCGGACTCAGAGGCCAGCAACTGGAGAAAGACTCTTGGCATCAGAAGCAAATCTCTGGACCGGGCTGGCCGACACCAGAAAACCACTACCCTGGAGCCGGGATCCAGCTCGACGGGATGCATCAGTCAGACTCAGGACGTGATGGAGATGATCTTCAAAGAACTTCAGGGAATCAGTCAGATCGAGTCCGAGCTCTCAGAACTGCGAGGGCACGTTAACGCCCTCAAAAGCTCCATTGACGAGATCTCCAGCAGCGTGGAGGTGGTGCAGAGTGAAATCGAGCAGCTCCGTTCGGGTTTTGTGCAGTCCAGACGCGAGACTCGAGATATCCACGATTACATCAGACAGATTAGCCAACAGACCAACAAAGCTACTCTGAGATTTCTAAATGTGCCTGAGGAGAAGTACGAAAAAACGGAAGACCTTATTTATCAGATCCTGAAAGAGAAAATGGGCTTCGCTGAAGCATGCAAGACATTTAAAATTGAACTGGCCCATCGAATAGGCCAACAAAGAGAATGTTACAATGCTAAACCTCGACCAATTGTAGTTATATTTTCAAGCCCCCAAGACAGGGATTTAGTTTTGAAAAAGTGTTATAAGCTAAAAGGGACTGGGATATCCATTTCGACAGATAGTCTAGCACACGATTCGAAAGAAAAGAGAGACAAGCCAATGGTTTTCTCTCAGACGTACGAAAGCATGGACATCAAGGTCTCAGCCAAAGACAAAGCCGAAAGTGATGACTGGGACTCCATGGAAAGCGACAAAGAGCTTGATGAATTAAACAAGAACAAATATGCAATTGTGTCCAAACCACCTCCAAAAAGTAAATCAGACAAGAAAAAGTCTCACGATCACCGAAGGATGGCCGATGATGCTGCGTACTCTGTGCACTATGCCGATAGCACAGCCTACGATGACCACGACAAGCAAAGCAAGTCCTACTATTCTGACATAACACCTGGATGGCTCTCTCAGAGCGACTACTCCACTCCCAAACTCAGCCGGTCTGAATCGGACTGCTCCAAACTTTGCCAGTCTTACTCCGAGGACTTCTCTGAGAGTCAGTATTTCAGCAGAGTCAACGGCTGCTCCTTGCTCTCCTCCTCAGATCAGGAACTTTGGCAACGGAAGCAAGAAGACATGGCATCCTCCTGGTACGCCAGTCCCCCCAGTCAAACTCTGAACCAAGAACGACCTTATGCGGAACATAATGAAGTTGAAACCACAGAGACTATTGACAGTGGTGTAAGTAATGGTCTTGTTTGTATATCAGGGGACAGGAGCCATTACAGCGGCTCTCAGCTGTCACTGCAGGGTGACCTTTCACCATGGAAAGACTGGCATCACCTTGAACAAGGTGCTGATTCAGGTTTGGACGCCTCCACTGAACAGAACATAATCTCTGAAATCAGTAGCCCCTTTGACCCTGCAGCTAACCCTGGTTTCCCTGAGAAAATAACTAAATGCCTCGAGGTTGATTTGCAATTTGAAGGCGAGACCTTTTTGACACTAGATAGCACTCCTGACACGGGCCAAGATCAAGATATAGATATAGAACCTGAATTTTTAGAACCTGAGCCAGAACCAGAACAAATGCCACAGCCAGAACCAGAACCAGAACTGGAGCCAGAACCAGAGCCAGAGGCTGTGATTGAACCCATACCAGAACCAGTACTTAAACCTGCAGCGGAACCGCAACCCGAAAAGAAGCCCAAGACCAAGAAGATCCAAGCTAAGCCTGAATCAGCTCCACAAACTTTGCAGCGACATGATGTGAACCACCTCCAGCACAGCCAGAAATCTTCCTCCATGTACCGGAGCCAGAGTGAGATCAGAAGTGAGAAAGTGGAGGAAGTCCCCAAATCCTGGAGTAGCAGGCTCAGCATAGACCTCAGCGAAAAAACCTTCAGCTTTGGAGGATTTGGATCCACCCTGCAAAGAGCAAAGTCAGCTTTGGATTTTGTGTGGAATAAAGGCTCCCAAAGCACTAGCGCCCCGGTTGAAGAACCGAGCAACACCTCATTCATGGGTAGGTTCAGGACCATGTCCCAGTCCACAGCGAACAGCTCCAGCACAACCATTGACTCGGATGTCTACACAGATCCTTTCTATTACAAGGCAGAAGAGGAAGAACAACCTGCTGAACAACCTGTGGACAATGAGACACATTACGTTGAGGTGATGGAACAAGTCCTAGCCAATCTGGAAAACAGAACAAACACAAACGAGACTGAGGAACAGAACCAAGATGAGGAATACGACGTCTCGCAAGAGTATGACATCTCACAAGAGGGTAACCTCGTGCTAGAATATGACTGCAGCCTTGATGAGCAATATGATGAGGAATACAGTGAGGAGTATGACGACAATCCCATGACCGAAGACACGGCGGAGTATGAGGTGAGTTTGGTGGATTACGTGGAAGAAACCGAGGAACCGGAAGCAGAGGCCGAGGAACAGGAGGAGAGTAAGGAGGAGGTGCAGGAAGATCAAGAAATATCAGAAACGAAGGGAGCAGATGAGGTAAAAAAGACTGTAGAACAAGAGGATGAGAACAAAAATGTTACAGAGGTTCCCGTGCAAGAAGCACCACCCAAAAAAAGGATACGTCCCACCTTCAAAGAGGTGGCGCTGAGAGCTTACCGGAAGCAGATGGCTGAGTTGGAACAGCAGATCCTGGCAGGAGGTATGAGCCAACTAGTTTATATGTTAGCTTATTATAGTTGTCTTGAAGGGTTTTAGTTATGGCTTTGGTCGGTGAACCATTGATTGAGTCATTTGAGATCCACCGTTGTCCAAACATGAGGTCTTGGTTCATGACACCCCAGGGTTGTTGTGAAGGGCAAGATGATGATTACTAATATTTGATGTTGAGTGGTTAGAATTGGCGATTGATTTTGTGTATGCGTGTGTGTGGTTGTCAGTGCCTCAGAGTTCAGATAAAAGTGTACTTCACCTTTTGTGGCCTTCATTAAACTTAGAGAGTCCAATCAACAGTTCTATGTATATTTAAGCATTTATTTTGAAAGGAACAGTTCACCCATATAATAATGTTCTTTTCATCATTTACTGTCACTGTCATTCCAAACCTGGATTTTTTTTTATCGTACAACATGAAAAGGGACAATTTGACAATGCTTTTCCATTCAGCACTTTCCCATTCGGCAAAAGCGTACATTTATCATTGGTTGTCCAAAAAGGCATCATAAAAGTTGTCCATTTGACTTTGTTCTACATTTCTTCTAATGTCATACAATAGCTTTGTGTGAGTGAAGTACTGAAATTCAAGTCGTTACTCACTAGAAATCATGCCCACCATCGTAGCTCTCAAATTTAATTTCAGATCAGGCCAGGCTTGATGTCAATGAGAGCAAATAGCATTGGTTCTACTTGTAACATGCACCACATTTGAATATGTGCATATGTGTAATTTTATTTTTGGCTGAATTTGTCCTCTGCAGGCATGATTTATTAGCACTTTTAGCATTTTTTTTTTCAGCAGAACAAAAGTCTCAAATGTGTTTTCAAAGTCAGTTTACCCTATAAATGCTAATATGGACATGCTATTAGTTTGTAAACAAATGTCAATATATGATTAATGGAATGACTAAAAGGATTCGCTGTTGGTAACAGCTGAAACGTGGCTATGCTAGCAGGTTACCCCACAAAAGCAGAGTTTCCTTTACAGCCAGTCAGGAATCAGGGGAATTTCCACCCAGTCTTACTCACACCGAAAGCACTCTTGACCTAGATGTGAGAATCACAGTCACGGCACACGGCAAACCCAGCGCCGCACTCCACAATGCTGAGTACTGTTGGGATACTGTATTTAGGCTGCTCATTCATGCTGCACGCTAACAGCCAGATGCTCTGTGTACTTTAGTGGATTCTGATTCTCTAAAACACAAGCCACAAATGGTGGTAACCGTAGTATAAGCGGAATAATTGACTTTGGTCCGTTGAATTCTTAGAAAATAATGCACCCCTGAGGTGTAACGGCCTCGGGTGTGCATTATTTTCTAAGAATTTGCCTTTTTCACAAAAATCGGAAATTACGTCAACGCAGGGTAAAGTTAGTTCCGTTACAGGTCTGCGCCTGTTATATTAGTATGCCCTCAAATTTCTCAAATAATGCTTCTTACCTTTTCTGTTTTGTCTGTTTTCTAAGTTGTTATATAATCTACAAAGAAATAACATTTTACTTGTTTGTCACTCATATGCCTCTCAGACCGCTGACTTGTGAGATAATACGCTCAACATAGCACCAGATGGTTTGTTTCTATTCTCCATCTCCGACATCCCTTTTTAAATAGGCTAGTCTTTGATCTCCGGTACATTTGAGCGTATTATCTCAATTTACTCTGTCATTTCCCTCGAATCACCGCATCATGATAAACTACTTAAAAATGACAACATTTATGAACATTTTTTCCAATACATTAAACAATTTTAACTAACTTAGGTTGAAGCATATTAAACTCAACACAACAACTTAATCCGATACAATAGGAATGTCATGAATCTGAGTCATCTCTTGTTTAATATGTATTTCCCAGGGCACATTATGCAATGTACATTTAAAGCATCACATTAATAATGCAAGGGAGAGTAAGTAGAAAATACAATATTACTTTAATAATAATAATAATAATAATAAAAATAGCGGAAAAAAAATTCACAGCCAGCACCAAACGGACAGAACGGCACAGTGCAAAAAATGCTTTTCTTACTTAGATTTTGTTTCTTGTTTCCAGCCACAATATCTAAAAATTCTTAAATCAAGAAGGATTTTCTAGACATGTAAAAATTATTGTCTTGTTTTCAGAAAAAAACAACCAACCAAACCTGCCAGTGGGGTAAGCAAAATAATCTGGTTTCCTGTTTGAAATAAGATTATTTTGCTTGTTTCAAGCAAAAACTTAATTTTGACCTTTTTTTGTCTGAAAACAAGACAATAATTTTACTTGTCTAGAAAATCCTTTTTGATTTAAGAATTTTTAAATATTTTGGCTGGAAACAAGAAAAAAAATCTAAGTAAGAAAAGCATTTTATAACTGCCACCATTTAGAATGAAATAAACTTGTATTTGATGACCCGAGCTGACGCAAAAAGTTAATTGTGAAATGTTTGCGCTCTGTAGAGTAAAGTACCGGCAGTTCAAGTATTTTCATAATCTCTAATTTGTATAAAAAGACTTTGATTCTCGAATTCTCGTTACCCTGCAAGCGCCAGTCCAGAAGCCAGAAACACGGAAGTGTGGAAAAGGCTAATTCAACGGCCCGTCGTCAATTATTCCTTACATATCCAACATGTATCCGCCTGCCTGGCAAGAAACTTGATACTGTGAAGGACCAGGGTTATTGGTCTCTTGAAGGTCTCGTATTCACTACATTTTCCCTAAAATAAGCCAGCAATGAAAAAAATTATAAAATATTGTGAAAAGTACAGTTGCAGTGAAAACTTTGAATTGTGCCAGAGCTCTCCCCTCCTAATCCTATATACATATACACAAATGCAGTTACAAGGTTTTTGACCAGCGAATGTGTGCAAATGTGCATTTTGTCCTTCATTAAAACAGCGGCATCACATATACGTTTTCATCAACAGGTTACACAGTTTGTTGTAGCTATATGGGTGCTCAGTTTTTCCTGTTGTAAAATATATTTGGCCAAAATCTCATTTGATAAAAGATGAAATGCTACTGTATGCAAAGCTATTTAAGTGTAGGCTATTAGCTATGACTAGATGGCAAATGCCAGCCATCTCTCTCTGGTCCCACATGTCTCAGACCTCAAATGCATCAAATATGAGCCTTTATAGACATAGTGTCTCTATGTATTTATTCAAACAACAAGATCTTTATTTACCCTTGCAAGATTTTGTTCAGCTGCTGCAGAACTTCAGTTCATTCAGTCAATATAGAGGGGGTGGAGTTATGAGGTTTGACTGACAGGGCAATCTAACAGTGTTGATTTATTGAAAAAAACAAACAAACAAACAAACAAAAAAAAAAACACCACCACCACCAAAAAAAAAAAAAAAAGGCCCTTCGGAGTGTAAGGGCAAAAGGGGCATGTGCTACCTGTTCTCTTGAGCCCTACTTGTGCACGTGCCTGTATTAAAGTATATTTATTGTATAAAATATAAATGATTTATATTTTTTTTCAGGACATTTGTGACCCTGGACCACAAAACCAGTCTTAAGTGTCAATTTTTCGAAATTGAGATTTATGCATCATCTGAAAGCTGAATAAATAAGCTTTCCATTGATGTATGGTTTGTTATGATAGCACAATATTTGGCCGAGATACGTCTATTTGAAAATCTGGAATCTGAGGGTGCATCTAAATATTGAGAAAATCATCTTTAAAGTTGTCCAAATTAAGTTCTTAGCAATGCATATTACTAATCAAAAAATGAAGTTTTGATATATTTATGGTAGGAAATTTACTAAATATCTTCATGGAACATGATCTTTACTTAATATCCTAATGATTTTTGGCATAAAAGAAACATCTATAATTTTGACCCATACAATGTATTTTTTGGCTATTGCTACAAACATCCCCCAGCGACTTAAGACTGCTTTTGTGCTCCAGGGACACATTTTTAATATTTTGCATTTTTTAAAATGTATTTTCCATTAACAAAGCTGGAAAAGGGAGTGCTAATGATTAGCGTTCTCCAGGTTTATCCTCCTTGATGAAAACACAGAAATATTCTTCAGTGGTGCTGGTATTTAGCTCCTTGTTTTCACACAGCCAATTTAATTTCTGAGCTCTCATTTTCTCCTTGACTAATTAAAGAACGCAGATCAGAAATCATTTGCATAAAACGAGGAACCGTCATGCAGGGGCTCTGAGTGTCGTGGCTGTTTTGGTTCAGTTGTAAAAGCAGGGCAGTGAGGTCTCTTAGGATTAGTTCTTCCTGCCAAACCCATCTTCATTTAGTTCTAGGCTGAACTGCATTCACTTGCTAATTCCTCCTCCCAAGGGCGCTTGCTAACCAGGTCAGCGTTGTTGGGACTCTTATATCAGTCTTGTTCTGAGAGTAGCGGTGCGAGCCGGCACTCCTCGCTTCACGTGTTTATTATATCCATTTTATATTTCCGCTCTGATCCATCGAGGTCAGCTGACTGAAAGTAGTCTATCCGTTCTCTGAATATTTTATTTAGATCACAGCGCTCACGGAGGACAGATTTTAAAAACGTGTGCAGCACTGATAGTAAATACTTGTCGCCGTTTGCAGATGTTTGTTTAGAAGGTTTCCTATCCTCTTTTCATATTTTAAGATATAAATGTCTTTATTGACTGTTCAAACCCACAAACATACATCAGTTCTGCGGCTGCCCCAGATTTCCATTGCTCTACATTTGCATTGCATTTCAATAATCGAGGATTATGACTGTATTAGGAAAATTCTTCATAGAGATGGACACGAAAGTCAAGAAAAATCTAATCTGACCCTGTTTACTTTATTGAAACATATTCTGGTAAATGATGCATCAGTGCATGTTGTTCTAATGTAAAAATGAATAAAAAGCTAATCATTAAAATGCAATAACTTGCTCCAATACTACACCTAAGCTCAGTTTCACAAGGAAATATATCCAATTATGGAATAAATAATTAAAGTGCATTGCAAATGTCGATTCATATTTAGATTAAAGACCATATTTGCTTCAAGAAATGTTCTGCACGATTTATCAGTCCACAGGATAAATGTTTTTCATTATGTTTTAGCAGAATCTAACATGTTACAGTATATAAGCCGTCTGTTTTATTGGGAACTATGTCATAATATTTTAGTTTTATTATTTAAATGGTGCAAAACAGGGATATTTTCTACCTGCAGTTTGTTTTCAGAAAGACATTATTAATGAAAGTGATGCATTTAGCCAGAGCTCAGTGGAAACAGACCACTGATCCTAATGAGTGAAGGAGGTTTTCCGTCACCTCTCTCACAGGCCGATATGTTTTAGCCTTGAGAAGCACAGCCAAATTATTCATCTCATTTCGTCTCTGTCACTGACCAAGAAATCTAAAAGGAAATTTAATTCGTCTGAGAAATCCCTCAGTGCATATATATTCTGCAGCATTTCAGCCGTCCACAAAATGGATAGATTTCAGAGACTGTGGACACTGTGTGATCTTGTTTTAAGGGTCAATTTAATGAGACTTGGCAATATTTCAAATTAGTCAAAATAATATGTGATTTTTTTTCATTTATAACCCATTTTACTTCAGTAATGTGACATATTTCTGAGTGAAACAGCATATTCTACAGGCAAAATATGGTCAGGAATTGATGATTTATCATATGAAGTGTTCGTTCCGGACCTAAATGTGAGTTTAAAAATATTATTTCAAGTAAATATTTGAATTAAAAATATTGCGGTAATTCTAATCACCTTTAAAAACAATTTAAATTATTAATATTATTAATACAAATAGTCATTCCTGTTATTCTTACTGTAATGGTGATTTTAATCATTGTAATTTAGTCATTTTAATTTTCTTAACAGTTTTATGGGTCTTCATTTCAGTTAAAAAAGTATGTTGACTTGTTAAAAATCAATAAAAAAATTAATAGAAAAATTGAAATATTTATATATATTTTATATACATATTATTAATTTGATATAAATATTTTATATTATTTTTTATAATAATAATAATAATACATTTTTTTTAGCAGCAAATCAGAATATTAGAATTATTTCTGAAGTAATGATACTAAAAATTCAGCTTTGAAATCACAGGAATAAATTACATTTTACAATATATTCAAATAGAAAGCAGTTATTTGAAATAGTAAAAAATATTTCACAATATTACTGCTTTTGCTGTATTTTGGATCAAATAAATGCAGGCTTGGTGAGCAGAAGAGAATCTTGAATCTTACTGTTCAAAAACTTTTGACTGGTAGGGTATATTCTTTTGATTTTTGTAACCTAGATATATTTTGATTCATTGTTAAATAAAAAAAAAAAATTTTTTTAAGACCTTTAAAAACCTAATTGGCAGCGAAACTTGTTGGATGGTTGGATGGTTGGTTGCCATAAAATCGATTTGGAACAAACATGCCAATAAAACACCCGAATATATACCGGTTAGTCCTCAGTTTAGTGTTTCTCTGACACTGAAGGATGGTCTGAGCATTACAGAAGGGACGAGTAACCCTTCATAAGCCCAACAGGAAAGATTTGATCAATACTCTGTTTGACCATCCTCGTCTCCACTCTATTAACCAGCTAGATTTAAGCTCCACTGCTGTTCTTCTCAGCTTCTACGTGCGTTTATTGACCTCTGACGTCTCTGAGAACTCACTTTTATCGTTCATGGTCCAGCGAGCTGTGAAGCTATCGCACTAAAGCTGAACTAATCATTGCCATTATATTTAAACACTTGAGCGACATTAAAGCGTCTGAGGTGATCTTTGAGACCGACTGAAGGAGAATGATCTACTGTAATAATATGAGAAATCAGGGTCAGTAATGGTCATCAGTGTAACCTCATCTCTGAGGTTTGAATCTGCCCATAATTTGGCAGAAATCATGTTTGGATATTGATTGTATGAAGTGTATTTAAATAAACATGAGTGGTCTCTGTGCTGGACACCGCAGGCTTTTACAGCGTTATATGGTTGGTGTAGTATGAGAGAAAGATGATATATTGTCTCAAGGTTTGCGTGTGTGTGTGTGTGTGTGTGTGTGTGTGTGTGTGTGTGTGTGTGTATCAGGGATTATACTCGGACTGAGATATCGTAAATGAGCTGTGCTGGCACTATTTGTTTGGCTCCATTAGGCACAAGTCATTATAAGTGTGTGCAGTTATTTATAGATAAAGGAGTCGATATGTGCTGTTATTTCTAACGTTCCTCTCTGTCTTTCTGCTTCTCTTCTGCAGACAGCACTGCTCTGGACACCGAGGTCTTCTTGTGTTTTCTGTGCTTCTATCGTTTTTCACCACTTTCTGTCTGTGTTTGTTCATCTTTGAATGTATATGAAATGTGCTGCATGTTTTTCAGTGTTCGGTGATGATAGATAGATAGATAGGTAGATAGATAGATAGATAGATTGACGGGTAGTTAGATGGACAGATAGATAGATAGATAGATAGATAGATAGATTGATTGATTGACGGATAGATAGATAGATAGATAGATAGATGGATGGATGGATGGATGGATGGATGGATAGATAGGTAGATAGATTTGTACTGATCTCGTTTTATAATGTATTTTGTCTGTATTTGCACTTGTTTGTCATTGTTTGTGTGTTTCTTTATTGTGACTGTGTGTGTGTGTGTGTGTGTGTGTGTGTGTGTTTCATATATTTACTGTACAGGTAAATGATATACAGTAAGTACAGTGTCTTATTGATCTGCGTAAGTCATCAGCAGGCTGTTTTCTTGTTTCACAGGGCCTTGCCAACATCCTGGACCCAGCCAAACTGGGGCTGAGCGGCGGAGGGTGAGTACAGACACACACAACCCCAAACACACACGGGAAATATAGAAAGAGAGATGAACACTGCACCATAACTGAAGCGAGTGTGTAGAGTTACACTCTTACAGGTGCTGTATATGTTATATACAGTGGGTACGGAAAGTATTCAGACCCCCTTAAATTTTTCACTCTTTGTTATATTGCAGCCATTTGCTAAAA